GGGGGGGGGGGGTACGGGGAAATGTTGTCTACGTTTGAGAAAGTAGATTCCAGGAATTATAGGTTGATATGTCTGATGTTGATCTGTAGTCAGATAGATTTCCAGCACAGAGTCCAAGGCAGAACTTTGTACTGGAAGGATCTGGGCCCTGGTGCCCTAGACCTGCATTTGAATCATGGCCACGTGTCCTCCAGCAAGTTGCTTTACCTTCTTGAACCTTGGTTTCCCCTTTTGCAAAGCAGATGTAATACATGTGCCTTTCCAGGTGTGAAGATTAGAGATGATATATGTAAAGTGCCTAGAAGAGTGACCAGCATGCTTAATAAACAGTAGTGATGACTGCTTTATGGTTATGATTATTGCTGCCTATATTATTATTGGCACTCACAAGCCCTCTGCTCTCTGGATGCCTATTTTGCCTCTTTCAGGCATATCCCTAGCTGTATTCCCTGTTTCCTGAGTCACTCTTGGTGTCCTGGCAAAATAATGGATTCTCCTACACTTGGGAACCCCTGTGGCTCACCCCAGCCAGGGCTGTGTGTAGGTGAGTGGCATGGAGCAGTAAGTAGCACCACCCAGTAGCAAGCTATTTACTGGCCACAATAGTAGCTGGTCTAAACATTGGACACCTTGGAGGGTCGCCTACTTCAGTGGTCCATCCGATGCTTGTGGCTGCCACAGCATCCTCCTAGAGGCTTTCCCATGCCACGCATCATTAGAGTAAATGAAAATCAAAATAGAAAAGTTCTTCATGTGCTGTTCCTCAAGGACCACAAGGTGGCGCAAATGCAAAGTTTAAAAAGTGTTCCACCAAATCCTGAGACAGAAAGGAGATCAGTGGTTAACTAGGGCTGGGGGGTATGAAAGAAACTGTGCAATGTGCTTTTCTACACAAACATCCCAGCTGGTCTTATTAGCACTTACCATGGCTAGAAAAGGAGTACAGTGAGCAGGTTTAGGTGAACTGAGCAGGAGAGATAAAAAATAGCCCACACCCCATCCCCACTTCACTTCTGTAAATAATGCTGACCACTTTGTGGCCAGTACCGCTGTTTACAGTTGGGCATCAAGAGAGCCCCAGGGAAACACCAGAGCAAAGCACACAAAGGTCTGAGACATTTAATCCCCGCAACCCTATGAAGTAGGTATATTCCCATTTAACACTTAAGCAAACTGAGGCTCAGAAACCAGGGGGCTACAAGTAACTGGACCAAGGCCAGCAGCTAGTGAGGGACACAGCTGGGATGTGAATGTGGCTTTCAGGGACCCAAGTCTCTGCTCAAAGCCACTACACTAAAGTGTCCCCACTTACCCCAACTCACCAGCTCCAAAACCACTGAAAGACAAAGACTATAGTTGGAGTCATGAAAGTACCATTGAGGAGCCCTGCTAAAGGCTTGGGGCCAGGATAGTACCCCTGTGGTTCTCTTTTGTACAAGTGCCCTGTGAGTTTTCAATAGAAAGTCAGCTAAGATAGGAAAGAAAAGGGATTTTAAAGTAGTTCGAGACATTCAGAAGTATACAGCTGCCTTCTCTTCCTTCCAGAGCAAGTCTTTATTGTCCAGTCAATCAAGTATTCAATGAAGACTAGCACTGTACTAGGTACACTGTACCAAGCATAAATATAAAAGTATAAAACACAGTCACAGCCAATTTAGGTGTAGAATTTAAATATTTCTCAGGAATTACTCCAGGGTTAAACAAGAAAATCTGGAGTTAGTTGCCAGTATTACAACAAACATTCTTTAAAGTCAATATTTTAAAGAAAAACATTACACCCACATTTGTCATGGTATGCAATTTCCCCCCAGTAATATAAACTTCACTGTTATCAATAAACAAGGCTTACTTTTGTTAAAATTCGCCTCTGTAATTTCAATAGAGTTTTTAAAAGGAATTTTATGTAAAAGGTAAAGTAGTAGAAAATGTGTACAAATTTGGCCAACAGCTGTCTGAGTGAAAGAGCTCGAGACTACTGAGAGAACCTAGCTCATCTGCAGGCCATTTTCATTAACATTTTGATGACATAAGGCATGTTTCCATCTGAGACATTCCTGCCATCCAGAAGAGGGGGTCAGTACCATGGACAGCAGCACAGGCTAGACATTATCACAGCAAAATTTCTCACCAACTAGGGCACTACCAGGGGTTGTCAGGAATTTTTTCCCCCAAATTAACCTCTTGATTCTCTCACAAACTCTCAGAACTCACAGGGGTATAGTTCTTTGAACAGAAACTAACTGAAACCAGAAGTTGGACTAAGGTACTGTACATGGTGATGATTCAATCCCAGGAGGATGCCTCCTGCTTCGAGCGTAGAACATTGAGTACAGAGCAGAGGCGTGGGAGCAGCAGTCTCAGAAGCCTGAAACCTGAGATGGCGATGCAAGGACACAAACATGACTGTCACCTTGCTTCCTTTACAGACCCTTCACTTGACCTGGTGGCCCCACTAAAGAGCTTTCGCTTCATGCTGGGTCATTACCCCAAATGGTCTCCATTTTGGCAAATAAGAGGCAAATGAGGGAAGGAACTAGCAAAAGAGAAGGACTGGATAATTTTCTAGTGTTAATGGAGTCTGGATACTCTAATGAAAAAGATCACTAATTCCCTGAAATAAAGCATGTTATATCAGGAAGTCTGGCTTGGTAATACAGCTTAAGGGTAAAGTTCAGATCTGAACTTCAGACCTGCAGTAAGCAAGTGCCTCTTCTCTCTTGAGGATCATTTGCTTTAAAGCACTGAAAAGTGAGCTGCTAGTTCTGGCAGAGATGGAAAAGAATGACAGTTCCTTCCTTTTTGTAGACACCGAAGTCTTAACAGGACCCCAGGTATGCAGAGATGCCATATCCAGGGCTGCACAACAACTCGGTCCTCACACCAGCTCTCCTCCTCATTTCCACCATGAAGATCACTCTGGCTGTTGTGCACCCATAAGCCCTCAGGATTCCTCCAACTGTGGAAATGATCATCCAATGGGAGGTAGTGTACAAAATATAACACTGATTTTTCTTAAAATATAAGACCGGTTTTCTTACAGCATGTAAAAGGCACTGTGTGCGAAAGCTGCCTCCCCTCCCAGCCAGACATCCACATTTGCTCCTTGCAGACATACAAGCACAGAAGAGGCCAGCTGATTTTGCCATGATGCACAGGGAACGAACTGCTTCCAGTCACTTCCGGTTTCTGAGCTGGCTGGTCAGCCAGTACAGGCCTTCGTAAAGCCCATCTCCACTGGTGGCACAAGTAGCCTGAATGTACCAATTTCTACAGCGGGGTGAATGTAAGCCAAGTTTGTCTGTTATCTCTGCTGTGCTCATAGCATTGGGAACATCCTTGAAAGAAAATATTCAAAAGTCAGTTTATAATGTTATATTCATATAATGAAATATTATGCTCTTCTTCCAAAACCGGCCCTAACCCACAGTTCTTACCTCAGCTGAAGGCAACTCTAGCCTTCTAGTTGCTCAGGTCCAAAAACTTGAAATCATCCTTAATTTTTTTTCCTCTCTCTCTCAACTCTCACAACTCCACATTAGGAAACCCTACAGTGTCTACCATCTAAATATATTCAGAATCTGACCACTTCTCACCCCACCTTCACAGCGACACCCTAATCCCACCACCATCATCTCTCACTTGGGTTACTGACATAACTTCCTCATTGGTCTCCCTGCTTCTGCTCTTGCTCCTCTGATGGTCTGTAAGGACCTCATGACCTGAGCCCCCATAACTTCTCCAAATTGTCCTGCTTAATCTTCTTAACTACAGCATTCAGCATGTTACTATAACATTTATTTATTTAGTATGTTTTTTATTATCCATCTCCCCTAACTAGAATGCAAGCTTCACAAAGGCAGGAATCTGTAGCTTGTTCTCCGATGCACCTCAGGTACCTAGAACTGTGCCTGGCACACAGTAAGCTCCGAAGAACAAGGTAGGTCTGCCTTAGTGATATGGAAGGACGTCAAAGATAGGCTAAGTGAAAAGGCAGGTTGCAAAACAGAATGGAGAATATGATCTCCACAATTTAAATGTGAATATAATCATTTAACTGCTTATATAGGCATAGAAAGTTGTACCTCTGGAAAGAGGTAAGAAATTTAACAATGTTTTACCCTGAGGGGTGAGCCTAAATATTTCACTTCACTTGGTATTCTGAACTGTTTGCATATTTATACCATGAACATATTCTGCTTTAAAATTAAAAAACCAAATCTGTTACTTTCTTTTTTGAAAGTCCACTATGTCCACGAGTGAAATTCTGGACTGACATCGAACCTAAGAGTAGGGTCATGGTTGAGTAAATGATCATCTATTTGCCCTTTAAAGTCACATTTACAAAGAGATGGATGACAAGAGAAAATGCTTTCGATAATTCTGAAGTGACAAAACAGTATGCAACACTGTCGAAGCAGTATGATTTCAATTACATAATGATCATATTCACGGAGGAGAGAGTGGGAGGAAACACATCAACAGGTCACTGTGGTTCTAGCAGGCTGTACATTCCACAAGAGTCTATCTTCTTTTCCACACTCAGTTCAGCTTTGAGTCCTGAGGGTGAGTGGGTCTGCACTGGGCCCTCCTCCCACCCTTTTACTCCTTGTACTACATCTCCTCCTCCATGACAGGCCCCAGATGAGGCTAGCATTTCCTCCCTCGCCGACCCCCAACTCTGCTCCAGTGTCACTGGCTGCTTTGCTGTTTCTAGAACCATGTGGCCCCCTTCCTGCTGGACTTCAGGTCTCTGCTCAGATGTCATCAGAGAGGCATCCTGGCCCTTCCCCACATCCATTCTGCCCCCTTCTCTGCTTTCCCTTCCTCCATGCGACTTCCACCAGATACATTACATATTATTTATTGACTAACTCTCCTCCCACTAGGATGTAAACTCCATAAACACAGAGACTTTTGTCTGTCTTGTTCACTGATATATCACCAATACCTGGAACTTAGATGCTCAATGAATATCTGTTGAGTGGGTGAATGAATGAATATAAGACATACGCTAAAAAGGAAGGAGAGGGAGAGGTTGTGGTAGGGACTGGAGAGAGGTAGGCAGATATCTAATTTAAATATCTATTATTTTTAAGTGATCATCTGGCAGTAAATTTCAATCCCAGTATTTAAAAAGCCAACAATATACCTGTTTATTTGCAAACACCAAAAAAACTGCATCTATGAGCTCATATTCCATTAACAATCTGGTTAGTTCTTCTTGGGCCTCACTGATACGCTCTCTGTCATTACTATCGACCACAAAAATCACACCTGGAAAGAAATCACAAGTATGTTGGTAGCCTGAACCTGGAAAGGGCAACTGTTTATATGTCCTTACAGCTTCTCCCTGTTCATGTATGTGGTTTCACTGAAAGCAATTGTATAGAAGGATATATAATCCCAAGAGTGAGGAAGTCTACTATACACTCAACTAACCTATCTCTGACCTTTCCCTCCTGGCTTCCCAGGCTCCTGCAACAGCTGCCTGACCAGCCACTCTGGAGCAGCCCACTCTAGCAGACAGGAGCTTGACAGCTTCTGGAGGTTTGGGGCTTGCAAGTGAGTCAAAACCATGTCTGTTATAGCACATCAGATTTAAAAATGCAAAACATTCAAAACTTCCCCCCAAATTTGAATGCTACCAATAGTTCTGGACTCTGATCGTCACTAAGCAAACCAAGTTATCCAGAAATTTGAAGAGATCCTTAGAATATCATTACTTTCCAGTGTGAAACTGAAAGGTGGAAGCAAGAATATTATCCCTTTTCCATTCCTAATAAAAACAAAGGTTTATAAATATTAGGTACCATTTCATATTCTATTTTTATAGGGATCCTTGTCGGAGAAACAAAAGAACCCAGCATCAAACTGACTACACTTTTGAAATAAAAGAACCTAGAAAAGGTAAATTTACACATAAATAGTATACTGTAATTTATTTATTAAAAGGGGGAGAAATATATATGTATAGATGTATTGCATAAAATATCTTTGGGCAGATATAAAAGTTGCTGCCTAAGGAGGGGAGCTAGATGGTTAGGGGACAGGAATGAGCTGATGACTTTTACTATATACTTTTATTTCTTTTTTAATCTAACAAGTTATAAGTATATTTTCATTTAACAAACTAAAATAACCTGTAATCAAAGAAAAATCTTTCCATATGAGAACTAATAGACCATTTTATGCATTCTATACAATATAACCCCATCTTTAAGAAAATGATAAGGAAATACATCTGGGATAGTCATGCCTATTCATGTACTTGTAGAATAGTAGGACAGTAGGGAGGGACTGTGACCACATAAGATGCTGAGACTTGGGATTTGGGGCTTCAGTGATTTCTGTTCATCTCTTTCTCTCCAGAGGCATGGTTTTTATTATTCTCAATAGGTTTAAAAAAGTTTACCGAATTCAGATTCTTCAAAAACCAGTACCTCATCTAAGGAACATGTAATTCTCAATCAAAAAATGAAATTCATCAGGACAACCATTTTCTAACCATTTCTGGATTAAGAGGAGTTTCCTATATAGGGCATTAAAGCCCAAGTACTTTTTCTAGGAACAGAGGGACCATTTCCCAGAAAAAAACCTCCCCAGTAAGTGTAAGTGGGCCATCAGAAGAGAAGGGATGACTGACAGTCCAAATAAAGCAGAGCACCACTAGGTTTTGCTTTAAGCCTCCATTGTTGGACACATTTAATATAAATGGTTCTGAGGACTGGATAATCCTTACCTTGGGTGTTCTTGAAATAATGTCTCCACATAGGTCTGACTTTACAATGGCTATTGACATCCCAGATTGTGAGGCTCATATTGTTATATTCCACCGTCTCCACATTGAATCCTAAATTGAAAAGATGGAGAAAATTTTTAATGATGATTTTTGCTGGCTGAACAATTCAAAATAATTTCAACTAACATTTGGCTGGCTTTAACATTTGGACTTCTAATTTACAAAGCAGCTTGCTAGTCAAAGACTTATAACTTACAAACAGAATGTGTTAGTCAGCTTGCTCTCCCACTCATCATGACAGGTGACAGGTGTCAAACCTTCCCTACTGTCTAAAACCTCAAACCTTTTTCTCAGCAGAAGACCTTACAGTGTATTTGAGAGCAAACAGGAGCCATTAATGGGACTGACTTCCACTTCCCACCGCACAGTATAGAAACCTTCCTACATCTTCCCTCCCTCCCTCTTGGAACAACAGAAGGGGGCAACTATCTGATGCCCATTCCGTCCACATATGTGCTGGATCCAATCTACGCACCTTGTCTGGAACCTTTCACCATTATTACCCTCTCCCCCCATCTGAATCTCCAACCTGTTCTCTGAATATTTAAGTCTTTCAAAAAATAGCTTCCTTGACCCTGTATCTTCCTTCACCTGCTAGCACCCTCTATTTTCCCTTTTAAAGTCAAACTTCTCTAAGAAGTTTAGCTTCATTCACTGCACCTACTTTGTCACCTCTCACCCCAAAGCACCTTAGTTCTGCTTCATCATGTTCCATACCTGGTCTCACCAAGGTGAGCAATGATCACCACGTCAATAAATCCAACAAATGTTCTTCAGTTCTTACGTAACTTAATTTAATATCTGACACTACTGCTTACTCCCATCTTGAAACTCTTCCCTGGCTTGACATTTTCCTTCTATTACTATGGATGTACCTTCTCAGTCTCCTTAGTGAGCTCAGCCACATTTAACTGATNGAAAAAGGTAATGATTAAAACAGTGAGGGCACTTACACCCTCCCTTCCTCTCAGTTAGCATGTGTCCCAGCCTAAGCCTGCGATGGAAGCTGGGAATCTGCTGTTACCCCCTCAGCCAGTCTTCATTCCAGCTGGCCTTTCTAAGTGGAAGCATGTCTCCACTCCAAGTATGCTCCTAGTGTTTAAAGATGAAGTGTGATTTTTATTTTTTTCCTTCACGCTGGCTCAAGCCACCCACTTGAGCTGATGTCCAACTGAAGAATTTGAACCAGCACTGTGTTTTGTAGGCTATTTAAGGGTTTTGCAAAGGCGGTTTCAGCAGAACTTAATCTTTGCCTTAAGACCTGCCTCTAGATCCAAATTCCTAAGTGAGAATAGGCATAGAATGTCAGAGTGTTCTGAATATTGGATTAGGAACAGAAACCAAATGACCAACTTCCAACGTGGGCACGAGCTTCAGCGACTGCAACATTTGAAAAGGAGGAAACCAGATGGAGAAATTGTTAACACAATTTAAAAAATGTTAGTTTAAATGAAAATAGCACAATTGCTTGGTTTTCTCCAATTATAGAAATAATTCATGCTTCTATAATTTCATACACATAGAAAAACATAAACAAGTTTTAAAAACACTCTACTATTAAGATTTTTGTGACTATCTTTGTAAAATCATATGCATGCTGTTTTCTAGTTTACTTTGCATTAACGAAATCTCTCTTCTGAGCTTCAGACTCATAACCCAACCTTCCATCCAAGGAAATGACATAAAAATAGGTTCAAACATTTTGTTTAATGCAAAGTAAACTAGAAAACAGCATGCATATGATTTTACAAAGATAGTCACAAAAATCTTAATAGTAGAGTGTTTTTAAAACTTGTTTATGTTTTTCTATGTGTATGAAATTATAGAAGCATGAATTATTTCTATAATTGGAGAAAACCAAGCAATTGTGCTATTTTCATTTAAACTAACATTTTTTAAATTGTGTTAACAATTTCTCCATCTGGTTTCCTCCTTTTCAAATGTTGCAGTCGCTGAAGCTCGTGCCCACGTTGGAAGTTGGTCATTTGGTTTCTGTTCCTAATCCAATATTCAGAACACTCTGACATTCTATGCCTATTCTCACTTAGGAATTTGGATCTAGAGGCAGGTCTTAAGGCAAAGATTAAGTTCTGCTGAAACCGCCTTTGCAAAACCCTTAAATAGCCTACAAAACACAGTGCTGGTTCAAATTCTTCAGTTGGACATCAGCTCAAGTGGGTGGCTTGAGCCAGCGTGAAGGAAAAAAATAAAAATCACACTTCATCTTTAAACACTAGGAGCATACTTGGAGTGGAGACATGCTTCCACTTAGAAAGGCCAGCTGGAATGAAGACTGGCTGAGGGGGTAACAGCAGATTCCCAGCTTCCATCGCAGGCTTAGGCTGGGACACATGCTAACTGAGAGGAAGGGAGGGTGTAAGTGCCCTCACTGTTTTAATCATTACCTTTTTCTTTTTTGCTTATCCTAAATGTGTTTGTATGACTCCCCTATAAACCTAGGAATGTGCTAGAGATGTTGGGGGGCAGTTAGCTAAGTATATATTACCTGGTTTTTGACCTCAAAAAGTTTATGTTCTTGGGACAAACAAGATTTTTGAAAGGAACATTCAATAATATATGCAGCACATAAGAGTATAACAGACCACATTGTAAACTGGTCTTGCCACAGGTTGTTAGCATACCTGTTGTAGGGACTGTATTCACAGTCTTTCCCAGCTTCAATTTATACAACATGGTGGTTTTTCCTACTCCATCCAAACCCAACATAAGAATCCGCATCTCCTTTTTCCCAAACAGACTGTTAAACAGTTTTTCAAAAACATTCCCCATTGTAATTGAACTCCGTTTACCTGAATGAAAAGAAAGGCAAGTCAAATAATTGTTCTTTGCAGAGATATAGAAAGAACATACATAAAATACAAGTTTCTGTTAGAGGTCACTCCTACTAAAATTCTTTAAAGCATTTTTTATTTTTCAGTTAGGGTTGACATACCATATTATATTACTTTCTGTGATTAGACATATAACTAAGTAATCATCCTGATAAATCTCACATCCATCTGACACCATACACAGTCATTACAATATTAGTGACTGTATTCCCTCTGCTGTACTTTACATCCCCATGACTATTCTGTACCAATCAATAGGTACTTCCTAATCCTTTCACTTTTTTCACCTGTCCCCCCACCCTCCTTCCCGTCCCGCAACCATCAAAATGTTCTCTGTACTTATGAGTCTGTTTCTGTTCTGCCTGTTTGTTTATTTTGCTTTTTAGCTTTTTTTTCCTTAATTTTATTTATTGATTTGAGAGAGAAGTATTGACTTGTTGTTCCACTTATTTATGCATTCATTGATTGCTTCTTGTACGTGCCCTGACCAGAGATCGAACCCACAACCTTGGCATATCGGGATGATGCTCTAATCAACAGAGCTGTGGGTTTCCTACAGCAGTTTAACTGTACGATGTCGAAGCCCAGGCCATTCTATTTTACAAGCACAGAAAAGGAGCACAGCTCTTATCCTGTACATAAACGAGGTCTAGGTAAACTGCTACAGCCAAAGAACGAGGCATGCTTTAATCATTCATAGAAGGTCCCTACAGAAAGCATATGAAAGTTCATATGCTTGTTGGATGGCAAAACTAGAAATTCCTTGTCTTTGTTTCTGACAAAAGAACGACAAATCTGTTAAGAAAAATCCTAAGGAGCACGCTGTGCGAAGGAAGGTACTTCCCGCTTAAATATCCCATGATCCCCCCTCCCAGCCACACACTCCTGGCGTCTCGCTCCTACTTCTCTCTCTCTTCCTACCCAACTTCGAGGGGCGCGCAGACCCCGCCGCGCCGAAAGAGACCCTCGGGAGGAAGGCACCGCCAACAGGGCACGAAGTGCGCGCAGGGTCCCCAGAGAAGGCCCCCCAGGGCCCTTTCTGCCCGGCTACCAAGCCTCCCTCTCAACCCGGCGGCCATCGGGAAATCGGAGGGCCCAGGGACAGACGAGCCGAGCTTCTCTCGGCTCTCAGAAGCCTCCGCCCTACGGAAAACAGAAAAGGGACGGGGCCCCCCCCGCTGCTCTCCAGTTCCCCTCCCGCAGACGGTGTGGAAACGCAACGAGGCCGCGAGTACTGCGGCCTTTATCCCCGGCCTGGGGCTCGGTCGCCCTCACTGATCGCTGTTGGCCTCACCGCAGCCTTCAGGATTTCCGCTCCATTCTGCTAGGAGGTGGGGCACCGGTGTGGGGGCGGGACCCTTTGAAGCTTTCCCACCAATGAGCTCGAAGTTTCGTGAGTGACGACATATCTGGCCAATGCGAAGAACAACAAGAGCCAGGCGGAAGGAGGCGCGCTCTTTGCGACTTGAGCCTCGGCTCCAAGCTCTGGTAAAGCGGAATTCACCCACCTGGGACAGCTCGGCGCTTCCGTGTGAGACACGCCCACGTGCCCCGCCCAGTGCTGTCTGCGACCAATCAGGAAAGTAAAAGGATTTCGGGTTCGTTCTGCCAATCCACTAGGAAAAACCCGAAGGATTGAACTAACCTGGGGGAGGAATGGGACCAACCCCGGGGCGACGTGCGGGCGGGGCCAAGTTCACAGCACTATTTAAGGAACTTCGCTGGGGTGCCACTAAAAGTAGAAACTAGCTTGGGACGATGTTCTGTGTAAGAAACACGCACTGACACCGAAGCTGGGCGTAAGGAAGGCTTCCTATTCAGTCTGAAGCGAGACTGCAGCCCTGCCTCTAAACAGATTTCAACGTGTTCCTTCGTTGAAATGGTGCAGAACCACGGTCCTCACTTCTTGAGAAATGCTCTCAATAATTCAGCCCCTTAAAGGCCAACCTGGTTAGCTAAAAGGGTTACAAACTCCTGTAAATGTTACATGCGAATGGAAAAGGGGAGACACACTAAACTTGACAAGCTGTGGGGGCAGGCGGGTGGGGGGCGCATGGCAGGTCTTACACTCAGATACCAAGAGTAACCACACAGGATGGTGTGAACATAAAAATCTTAACTAAAAGCAGGCAATAGTGGTCAGTTATGTCCTAGGCCTATAGCTTCCTTGACAAAGGTCAATGTCAATCTTTACCTTAAGTAAGCCTGTCTACCGTCTTTGTGCATCTAGGATTAAATACCTTTGCAATGTACGCAGAGTAATTTTATAGTACTCGAGGTCATGGTAATCAGTACTTGCTAAGTGCTGGATCAGGTTTTGAATGTATTAGGTACTCTGATAATCATCTCATCTAATTCTCACGTGAAGATATTTAAGTTCAGAGCTTAAATGTCACACATTATACCCAGGCCACCTTCACCCAAGTATCACTAAACTTACCCCTCTATTCTGGTCACAGTTCTGTTCAAGGGTTGTCTTTTCCCTCTCTTAGAAAGCCCTGCCGTACGTATTCCTTGCCCTAGAAACAGCCCTCCAGTAAACTCTCCCTTAGAAGAAATCTGAAGACACACTCACTTTTTCTCAGGAGCCCTCCAGAGGACTGTCACAGGTAGCCAATGTAGCCATATCAATCAACTGTGGTTTGTGGGCCTCTAGTGCCTTAAGGTTCTAGGAAATGCAGCCTCTCCCAGGAGACTAGGACTTCCTTTTCTCAAGATGCATAAAGTTTCATCAGACCAATATTCGAATAATCCCTTTTCAAAGAGATGCAGGCAGCTCTCTGGATCCACAATGTTAATATGCAGGGTTAGGCAGCCTGGCAAATGCATTGGGGCTCATATTAAAGGATGGTCTGGTTTCCATAGCAACATTCATTCCCTTCCGTGGAGGATTCTATCATCTCTCCTGCCCACTCAGACTTTCCAGAGTGAATTAATTTTCGTGACTATAGGTGTTTGTCCTTGATCTTCCAAAGAGGAAAGACATATTCATCTGGAAAAACAAAAACCAACCACCTGACTGCAGCTAGACTGCTGCATTGCATCAGCTGCTCCTCCTTTCTTTTAAAATTCTGATCCTTTCTCCATTTTGCTCTGTTCTTTAGCCTTATCCATCAGTTGCGGAAATAGGTTTCTCTGACAACTCTATTTTCCTAAAACTGGCTATGATGGGGCTGTAAAATGAAGTTTTCAACAAGGCTCCCTGAAAGCCTGGGCTTAGCTTAGGTTGGGGTGGCTAACCTGTGGGTTATGATTGGAGGGACAAAAATAAAAACTGCTGTCCACATATAGCTCTCCATAGAGAAGTCACAGTCTCTGAAAATTTGCCATTAGACATTGTTTCCTTGGGTTAGGCATTGATCTCCCAGGCAGTACTCCTTAAACTGCATATACTCCTGGGAAGAGTAATCTATTAGGTTACGAATATAAAAAGAATGTAGAAAAGTGAGGAGTTGGTGCAGAGGGAAGGGTATCAAAGGGGCTTGGAAGACCACCTTTGTTTGCTTCACAATGACATCTTCCGCAAGAGGCACAGTGCAGGTCCTTGCCTGGGTTCTGTGCTCCCTCCTGGCCCAGGGTACCTTGTCTGACAATGCTTCCAAGGCTGAATTAACTGGGGGAGCTGTGACCAGAAAAAGCAGGACAGCAAAAATATTTGTTGTTTATCAACTATCACTGCAAGGATTGCTCAGCTCCATGCTAAGATGACCTTGAATATTAGAGCACAGCACAGATGGGATGTGTAGACATGTGACAACCTGGAACAATTTCTCAGAATCTTCCTGGAGCTGGATGCTAAGCACTTTAAGGACTGGAGCTCATAACTGCCTACGGTTTCTTTGGTAGTCCCTGCAGGGCTATGCACACCATTCTATTACATTCGTACAACTTGTGAGAGGATACAAAAGGCCCCTAGATAGGCTTATAAACTGATACACTGCAATCTCTCCAGCAGACCAATCTTTCCTAGGTAATAAACATTCCTCCTGGTTGGAGAGATTTAAAGACATTTTCTCTTTGTAATATAGCTTACCTATTAAACTCTGATCCACCCATGATTTAGTTAACATCTGATTTGTCCAACAAAGCACTTTACTCAGATACAGCGTGAGAGTTTATGAACCTGGCCTGAATTCTTCTGTCCCTAGCCCATCTTCAGGTCACTTACTGATTTTATTAGTTCTTAATTTTAAATCGCTAAACACGCCCAGCTCTTCTAATTCTTTTTTTCCTCTCCTTTCCTCATGTTGGAAAAATCTATTTTTTCTAACTGTGAGAAATGAAAGATAAATCCTATAGTTTTGTATTATCATTTATAAATATGAAGAGAAATATAAGATAGTGGGGGCAATAAAAGCATCAGAGAACCTACTGGGCAGAAGCAACCTTCTTGCAGAGTCCTGTTACTATCCTGATGATGATGATGTATTCTGAGATTCCAGTGAGGAATTAAACTACAAAGGAAACAACATCAAGGTTAAAAAAAA